GTGTGGAACGAAGAAATCAAAATGATGTAATGTTTAAGAATTATTCTCTTTGTGGCTTCAGTATAATTTGTTATTTATAATAAGCACGTTTGGTAAAAGATTAAAATTCTTCAGGTACTCTGCTTGCATAAATTGAGAATTTTCTGCTAGGTTATAAGAGGGACCAAAGACTAAAGACAGATGTAGCCTACATGGAATTGTCTTCGTCCATTCTCATACGCGACTTCGGAGCGTACTCCTAGTATTAAATTTGTGTGCCAAATTGTTAAAATGAATAATATGTTTCTGTAATCATTCAAATTCATTTCTTTTGTAAATCCTAACGTGTTAAATCCGAAAAACTTTAATAAAATAATTTCTTACCAAATTCTTTCTAATTAGGTATATTCATGTTATCTTATCATCATCATCATCATCATCATCATCATCTGTTGAAACGTGACTCATAACTTACAAGCTTCATGCACATTTTGAGAAATGTTGTTATTTTTTTTATTTTTTATTATGTATATGTTATTGTAAAAAGGATGTTTTCCGTTGGAATAAATAAAAAATAACTTTTAATACATCACAGTTAATTAATCAATGAAATAGAGTTCATACTCGTTTATCATTTGTGTTTCTATGTGATAGTAAAAACGGTAATGATAGGGTAGAAGATGGTAATAGACTTAAAAATCCATCAATTCATTAGGTGTTTAAACATTATTTTCCGAAGGATCATAAGCAAAATTACCTTCTATGACGAAGTCTACCTTCTTCGATCCGGTAATTAGTTTCTCTTTGACCTAGCTAACTGCAGGCGAGTGGAAATCCTAGGACCTCATAGATTACCTCAGATGTCAAATTCGGGCCTCATTGTACCTAAGATCATTGAACTGCAGGTGAATGTAAAACGTATATCGCATTAGTCCAAGTATTTACACAGAAGAACCTAACACAACTCACTCCTTGTGGATCAGAACAAAATTATTCTTGGACGGCTGGTGCAAGAGAGGCTAAACCCTAGACTAACTCTCATGATTCTGTAATGGAATAAGACACTCCAGTATTTTTACTGACGTCTGGTGTTCTAGCATTTAGTGACGGACCCAAAATTTCCCCATAAGAAAAAATTACTCGTGGATTCATAAATAAAATAGTGTTGGGCGGCTTGTGTTAAACTGCTAGGCATTCTAAACCCTAGTAGGTCTCTATAGCCTAATACGCTAAGGTATGTCTTATGATTGTCGATTACGTATTTCTAGAAGCCACTCTGGTCGGGTGTATGTCCTATCACTTCCTAGTGGTCCGCACCCCCGCGGGCCATGACCAGGGCGCGGCGGCGGCGAGGGAGTGTACCAAGTAGGTCAGGGTCCGCGAGCAAGGCGAAGGTCTGCCTTCTTTGTCTGATTTCGGCAACGTTCACGCTAACATTGTCACCTAGATGTTATTGTTTGTACTCTGGAGATCGTGGTACACACCCAATAGGGCAAACTGTTGATATTTTCTGGATCCAATTAATCATTATTTGTCATTTTTTGGTAGCAAAACCAATGCCCACATAAGTGTATGTTGCTGAATAGTATGGCTGAAGAACGACTGTAATGGGGTAGGATAAACTAGTTAGTAGCACAGTAACACAACTACAAGGTTTTGTAGCTGTGTTAAGGCCGGGGCCACACTTGTAACTTTTAACCAGCGAGACTGTTTTTTTCCGTCGCACGTGAAATAGTAACTGTGCTGCTTCGCCAATCATTTGTGAAAAGCCCAATGATCGCCCACGTGGTCCAGTCACAACCATATAAAACACTCGAGACTGAACTTTTCTCGAAATTGAACCGGCGACCTTTCTGATTGTCTTACCAGATTGGAAGACTCTTAACCACAAAGCTACCTAGCCATTCAAATCAAATGCTTATAAACAATTACGCTGGAACTGTCAAATCAAAAAATTGAATTCCGCTATTCAAAATTCTGGGACATTTACGAGTTATTTAAGTAACTAGTGCTGCTCTTGCGTAAACTAGTCTTTCAAACTCTAAAACAACTACAGCGGCCTGGTAGGATTGGCAACGTAGCAAGTAGGGTTGTTTAGTGCCAGACGTTCCATAAGATGGCAGATAGGTGACATCAGCTCATAAATTCGCACTTTATTGATTTAAATTTATGAACCTTTATTTATGAAAGATTTATTAAAATATTCAAAATAAAACTTACAGAATTGAAAACCAAAACAATATGAATTGTAAGTCTATATCTGTACAGTTAAAGCGGAGTCAATATTTTCATTGCCCAGTAACCAAGCTTTCGTAAATACACAAATACCATTTAGCTGCTTCCAAACAAAACATCAGCTGTTACAATTCTACTTGCGACGTTGCCACTTCGAAGGCCACGGCCTGAGGAAACAACACGTTTTTGGTTAGGTTAAATCCAAGCGTTAAACAATGGTAGTTTACGCAACGATTGCGTTAAGTTAGTCTTTACGACACGAGTAGAAAATTTGGCAGAAAAATGGAGAGTGCCTTAAAAATTTCTACGAGTGTCGTAAAGACTATTAACGCGAGTTGCGTACACTACTTTACCTGCGACAGTTTTTTAATTACTAACAATCGCTATTCATAACTTCTGAGAGAGGTTATGTTTTCGTTTATTGTCATTGTCACTGAAAGTGATGCAACGAATTATTGTATAATCAGCTGATTTCATGTAATTACGTGTTTGTAAAACTTCGTTAAATATTACCTTACTTTTTTCAGGGAATAGTTTCTGCTAGTAGTATTCTTACCATAAATGCTGTATCAGGTACAATTACGGAAATATTGTATATTTGTTTGGACAACTGAATAATACAGTAAAATGAAACAATTAGTTGCTGGTATGTACCTTTGTTTCGATTTTGGTGGCAAAAGATTAGCACAAAAGGTTTGTGCTCTCGTTTCCATCTCGTCAACTTCACTTTCATTAACTGACATTTTTAAATCAGATTAATCTAACTTCCTTTAACTTCCACCAACGTTAAGAATACGCGAGTATCGACAGGAACAAGTCGGATCAACAATTAAAATTGTCAAATGATCAGCTGATAAGTTGACGTTCGAAGCATTACAATTTTACTTCTTTTCACTGAATCCTTGAACCTCATTGGTCCGTTACCCGTGTTGTTATGAGAAAAACTATGCTGTTATGAAATGAAACTATGCTGTTATGAAAGTAAACAGATGTTAAGTGAAACTTTTCAATTCTAAGAACTGAACTGAAATGGCTACTTTAAAAAACGGTCGTAGGTAAAAATGTTAACACAACACGAAACAATAGGAAATTCAAAAGGCTGTGAAACGCTGCACCAGCTGATTGTAGTCGTAGTATCTTTAAGTGTTGCCAACTTATTTTAAAGCATACACATATTTCGTGCCTTATAAAAGCACACTGTTTTGTGTTGTTTGGATGGAATACTGGATTGCGGCAAAGTTAAATTAGTGCGGCAAAAGTAAGTAAATACAGTAATTAGCTACTTTGCGTGCTATAATCAGTGCCCGCTTTGTCAGGTTTAGGGAAATTAATTGATTTGCTGATTAAAAAAAGCTAAGCCTATATTTTGAAAACCCCTTACACAAAAAAATAAATAAACAAATAAGTCCCTAAGTCCATAAAGACACTAAAGCTCCCTAAGTTGTCACCCCCTTAAACCCGCCCCTTAGGGAGTTAGGTTGTCCCTAAGTTTAAACAAATGTGTAAATAAATGTGTAAATTCTTATTCATTTCCGTGCATTGATTTTTATGTCAAAATGAGAAATAATGCCGGTAGGAAATATTCTTTTATTCAATCGCCCTCCTATAATTGATATTTATGGGATAGGTATGTTTTTCCTAAAACTTTGTTCCGTGGGCTTTATTGTTTAATATATTTCCTACAGTTACCTGACAATGTCGACTTCTTCGTACTGATTATAGCACGCAAAGTAGCTAATTGCAGCATTTACTTTTACCGCACTCCAGTATTCCAACCAAACAACACAAAACAATGTGCTTTTATTTTGCACGAAATACGTGTATGCTTGAAAATAATTTGGCAACACTTAAAGATATTACAACAACTACGATCACTATTCACTACCAACCTAAAAACGTGTTGTATAGTGTTTGAAAGACTAGTTTTATGCTTTATAGCTTTATAGTAGGCTAACTGTAAGAAAAACATAATGTGTAATGCGAGTGCTAAGTGACTTTGCTGCACTCGTGAAACTTTCCACAGTGAACACATAAAACATATAAACATTTGTAAACATTAATCTCAAGTGCAGAAAAGTGCCACTTCGCTAATAAAATATGTGTTTACTTTAAATTAATTTATATCAATTGTGAATAGGTATTCAATGTGGAATGGTTGTACATTTTTCTATGGTTTACGTTGTACTAAACGAATGGTATTTTATTTTGCCCTTATCAAAAGCCAGCAAATGGTATATTTTTTTGTATTGATTTTTAAAGTTAAGGCACAAGTAAGTCAATGGTAGTACTGTAGCATTGAACATATAACACTCTTATTTTCTTATAGAGTGTTATAGTTCAATGACTGTAGGCACAAACTTTACCGCTGGAGGCAGGGCGGTCGTTGTTAAGTAGGTAGTTTTAATATTCGCCGCTAGAGTTCTCCAGCTATGTCTCCAGTTCGGCTGCTTAAACTGCGTTACCGACATTCTCATTCTATCTCTCACGACAGTGTACCTCTTCTCCGCTTACAAGCATTGTAAACATTATTTCCTGTGTGTAAATGATCCTTAATTATGCATTATGTACTAGACTACATATTACTTTTACTATATTTGTTGTATAAATACAATTACTGACATTCAATTACCTTCCTTATTCACAACCGATTGAGATAAATTCGATTACGAGGTGTCTTTCATTACAAAATTTACAAATGAAAAGAGCAGCTGCCATGCTTAAGGCCTGGCATATACAAGTGTATTTCTTGAGAGTGTTCTGTGTCTGAGATGTTCCGTGTGTTCTAGTGGTGGCTTGACGGTGGAGGATGCTGTTTTGGCACAAGACGACCAGAATCTCTACGACTGGGCAAACAGAAGGTAGTTTGCTACCCTGCAGCGGAAAAGAGCGATCAATTACCTTTGACAAACCGATTAACGGAATTGAAAGATTTAAAATTAAAAGTATATTGTGGAACTTGTCAGTAAACCTAAACATAAATTTGCAGTAACATGTTTTACCTTCAAATAATAAACATATTATCCGTCAAAATCTATGAATTACAATATATTTACATATCTTTGAGACGTTTGTGTTTATTAACAGTTTTTCTGGATTTTAAAATATGGTTTATTGTTTTTCCTGTTTTAAATTTTAACAATTGATTTTCAAAATACTGTAATCGTATAACACGTTTTGAGTCCTAACGGATTAGTTTATCAAGATAAGAAATACAATTTATGTTTTAATCGGTTCAATAAAAATGACAAATACTCAAATCACGCTAATTGTTAACAAACTACAGTAGTTATGTCAATATTCCAGCTCTTTTCCGTTGCCGATCGTTGTGTTGTTTGCTAGCAATAATTGTTGTTTGTCTTTTGGTCTTGTCTTGCAGCTTGTCTTGTCTCTTATTTTTGTATTGTTTCTATAGTTCTTAACGAAATTTTGTTTCTTTTGGTCTTGTCCTGTCATTTATTTTGGTACCGTTTGTTGTTTGTTAACTGTTTAGAATATGTCTTTTGGGATTGTCCTGCCTTCCATATTGGCATCGTTTGTTGTTTTTGCCTGCTTGTAGATTTTGGGACTGTCTTAGTTTCTTTTAGCGAATTTCCCATACAGGGAATAAGCTATTACCGTAGGTCTCATGGTAAGATATGTGTGTGTGTCCTTTAAGCACGATAACTCGAGCAAAAATGATCAGATTTTGATGAAATTTGGTTTAAACGTGAAACCTACATTTTATTCGAACGAGTTCGCGAACCAGCATGATCGGACTATGGGAACTGGGGTTTATAGGGTGAAAATTGGGGTTTCCCGTTTTTGTTACTCTAAAAAGCATATAATTTTGCAATTTCTTTCTGAACCATTTTGTAGAGCTAAAAAACGAATTATTTAGTACAGTGAAGCGTTGTTGTATGCCTAACGGTTCCAGGAAAAATCCAAAAAAGTATAAATTTAAAATTACCATGTTATTTTTATGGATAAATAAATTAAATAGGCTTAAACTGTTGTAACTTGCTTGTCTATGGACATATTTTAACGAAATTCGGAAAATTTGTTTACTTCGTACTAAGCTATACAATTTTCAATAAAAAACACACCGTATTATCTTCCCCGTCGTAGCAAACCTAAGTACTCAATCAAATTAATGGTAATTAAATAGGAACTAAATATGACAATTTTAAGAGAATAATTTGATGGAATTCCAGCCAGGTAAATGGAAATTCGCTTAGTCTGCAGGTTTGCTGTGGCAGGGGTATTTAGCTTTCTCGTGTTGTCCTCCTTTTGACAAGACTTGGTAAGTTTTTTATCTGTAAAATATGTATTTTCTACAATATTTAGTAATATTGTAACCTTGGTTCAACCACTTAATCTTGCTGGTTCTAGTTATTTTATTACTGTAACCAAAGCACACAATGCATGCACATATTTAGTAAGATCAGTTCAAAAGATTATTTGCATAATGCGGTTACGTTGTGTTGATTAGTTTTGTTCGTGTTTTATCTAATTTCTTAAGTATAACTGAAATCATAGTCTAACCAACTAAAATTTCATCCTTGCTAAAATGTATATAATCGTTTACAATGTGCCTACAATCTATTAATAGGCAAGCATGTTTTTGAAATCCTTTTTCTCAGCTTGTGTGCATCGCAGGAAAAATCTACGCATACTGTTAGAAAGGTTAGAAAGATATTTTTCTGAAGATGAGCAGAATCCCTTTATAAATTAAAATAGGCTCAACAATAAGCACAACTAAATGAATTTAAAATTAAAAAAAAAAATTAACATGGGCTTTAGGTATGGGTTGCAAAATCAAAGCAAATTGAAGAAATTCCAATCACATGTTTTATTTACAACGTTGTGTGAAAATATGTCAGAATGTATATTACATATTTTTGGTCGAGTTTTCGACCACTGGAAGTGGAAGACCTCTAGTTATTATAATTTATAAGTAGCCTACAGTATACCTCAAAAAGGTACAGTATATACGCTAAAAAGGAGCACAATGATTATCAGCTGTTATGACACCATGACCGTGCTGAGCTCTAACGGCAAAGTTGTCAAACAGATGTTCCGTGCTGCACTCTAGTAGCCGACCAACGAACTACGTCGCGAGTGGAAGATTTGTGAACATTGTTACAACTATTAATTGTTGCGTGGTTGCACTCTTCAATCCATTCTAAATGAATTTATAGTTTTTTACAAGCAGAATATTTTACCAGCATATTTTTAAGCTAGGAATAGTATATTAAATCTCGCACTTTAAATGGTCGAGAATATGTGGCCATCGATCTCTGTTGTAGTAATAGAGATCGATGGCCTATACCACGAATACTAGAAAAATACCGGTATGGATCATAAACATAAACAATTGACGTTTTTGGTCCGAAAGTAAACAAAACCCCCTTAATTAACATATGTTTTTCTTTACTTTCGGGCCAAAAACGTCCTCTGTTTATGTTTATGATCCATACCCGGTCTTTTCTAGTATTCGTGGTATAGACCCACTTTCACTCGTGTTTCGAACGTTACTTTTCGCTACACTACAAAGAATAATTATTATCTTCATTACAAAACTCATATAATTTTTAGGTTATGCCTTCAATTTAAAGTTCATATCTATCTATCTATATATTAATAGGCAAGCATGTTTCTTTAAAACCTTTTTTCTCAGCTCGTGTGCATCGTGGGGTAAATCTACGCATACCGTTAGAAAGCTATTTTCCTGTAGGTGTGCAGAATCCCTTTATAAATTTAAATAGGCTCAAAGATAAGCACAAAAAATGAGTTTAAAAATTTTAAAAAATTAACATGGATCTTATGCGTTGCCATGCTGGTGACGAAATAACAACGAAATATAAACAGAAAATCAAAACAAATGGAAGAAACTCCAATCACATGTTTTATTTACAGTGTGGGGTGAAAATAGAGAAGTGAGTAAGTTTACATTACATATTTTTGGTCGAGTTTCGACCACTGGACGACCTCTAGTTTACTTTATTTGTTGAAAATTGAAACAGTTGATAAAACAATAACAAATATTTGAAGTTGACAGTGGAAAATTTTCTGTTGTAAACAATGCCACTTTCGGTAGTGTACAATAGACAGCCGTTAAAAATATGATGTTTCGCAGGTTGTAAACACATAACGAAAACAGCTCAACTCATAATAGTGTAGTTAAATTTTCTTTATTAAGCCGTATAACCTGTGATTTAACCGGTTACCTCCCGCTATCTCCGCGTCCCGCCATCTCCGTGTACCGCTATCTCCGAATTTCAGAGTGACCCCTATAATCCTCGGTTACTTCTTGCGTTAAGACTTTCCGTTCAAACCTATCCTAACCTAACTTAACTTAACCTAACCTAACCTAACCTAACCTAACCTAACCTAACCTGACCTAACCTAACCTAACCTAACCCACGGGTTAAATTTTCATCAAATCTTCCATCCACGGAGCTTCGCAGCCGTGGATGCAATGACAGCTAACAACGCAGGCAGTGACTGGATTAAAAGGGTCACTCTAGAATTCGGAGATAGCGGGACAGATTTGGGTTCGGAGATAGCGGAACGCGGAGATAGTGGGAGCACACGGATTTAACCGTATTAATTGTATTATTTAAACAATATTTCGAATAGCCCATAATGTATAGTATTTATTCAAATATTATGTATCAACTATAGCAAAATATAATTGTGCTCCAATGAACTTTTCGTTGGTAGTGTATGACAGATTTATAAGTCCTACTGTTTCATATACACCATGTCAATGTGATTAACGCTTGCGTTGCATTTTATATACAGTTTGAACGCATCTACCTATTTAGTTATATCAGAACAATAGTATCTCTTATAGACTAGTCTTGTAGTTTATGGAATGGAAAAAATCATTTTTCATGATTTATGGGGGCAATTAATTAATTGAAAAACAACGTTAATAGTTAAGCTATTTCTTGGTAAATGGTATCAATGCTTTGTTGCCAGTGAGTTTTTCTTGTACATTCTCTACGACCTTACATAAATAAAATAGAATAGTGTATGGCATATCCAATTAGTTTTCAGTTTGATCCAAGAATTCATCCTGTATTTGGTTAGCCTTTTGCGGAATAAACCACCACGAGGAACCCGAATGAAAATCGTAGGGGTTTCGGATGACAATATTGCAGTCTTCTATTTGTCACGATGCTTTCAGCTTGCAATTACAATAGCAAATACCGGTGTTAAGAGTGTAGAAAGTGCGTCGAAACGTGGTAGAACTTTCACCGCGACAGACTATCGAATAAACTTCTATATTCGATGTTATATCGAATACTCATTTTACCATCGGATGTGAGTGTGTTTCAGTGCTGTGGGAAAAGGAAGTGACTGGTTATTTTTTTACTTGTGGAGTTTGACATTCGAGTTTGATGCCTTGAAAGTAGCTGTATGTTTCACTACTACCTTTACAAAATGAATCATATGCAAAATTGCTTTTTGACTATACCTAGTTTAGTTACGGTCCCAAATTCACTATCCTCGAATACTGTAGTAAAAATGTACAATCAGTTAATGGTGATACCATCGTGGTCGAATGACATGCTGCAACAGAATAGTGTACCGTATGCATAACAATATTCGTCACATTTTACATGCATTTATTTTAATTTTTTTGCATGGATGTTTTTTGTATACAGACTCTTTATATTTCTATGTAAAAAAAAACAAAAACAAAACAATTAAACACCATTAGCTTTTCATATATTATCGCGCTGCATTTTAGAAGTAGGGTTACTTGAAATTTGTATAAGTTAAAAAAAATTAAAATACATACACCTAGGTTATATCGCCCGAGTTACTATGCATATTTCCTCATATCACAAATTGCTTACATTCTTGATAC